GGTCGCCGCCGCCCTCGTCGAGATGCCGGGCGGACGGGTGTGCGCTGCCTGCGGCGGCTCCGAGATCGAGGTGGACTCGGCCCGGGGTGACGCCGTGTGCACCGGATGCGGCTCGGTGCTGGAGGACAACATCATCGTCTCCGAGGTGCAGTTCGTGGAGAACAGCGGCGGAGGCTCCTCGGCAGTCGGGCAGTTCGTCTCCCTCGACGGTGCGGGCCTGCGCATGTAGGAGGCGGGAGGCGGGGCCGGGCTTCGCCGGGTGGGCAGCCGAGGGAGGGGCGGCCCGATGCTGCCGCTGCTGCGGCCGGCCGTGGCGTTGCTCCCGAGAGCAGGGAATGGCACGTGGGTGCCGGGGAAACTCACTCTGTGCCTCGTGCAGGATTTACTCAGTTTAAAAGCGAGGCACTGGGATGACAAAATCGGCTGTAATATTGTAAGAAGACAACTTCTGTGCCGCTGATTGTGAAAAGGACAGGTCTCATGTCACGAGGAGCTGCCTTGTAACTTGGGTAACCATTTACATCTTATAAAGAAGGCACACTGGGCCCACCCTGATTCTCTGGCCTCAGCCATATTTGCAGCTGGTCATCTGTGGTCCTCTGATAGCCGCCCTGATTCCTGCTTTCCTCAGACTTCCTTCTCTGAGCTCTTTCTCTGGCTTGTTATACCAAATCTGGGGAAGGGGCTATCCTGTCCTGCAAGAAGTAGACTCAGAAGAATGATAAGCCCTGCTCCAGAAGGGAGTAGGAGGGATATACCTGTTTTCAGATGCCCCATCTCTGCTGAAGAAAATGGAAAAGTCCAATATATCTGGCCCTCAAGAGCCCTCTCTTAACATGACACCTGTCCTTTTCATAATTAGTGTCATAGTAGTTGTGGGTGCCTTCTTGCCCCATTTGGCTGTCATCCCTTTCTTTCACTGCCTGCTAGTTTTATAATAGATTTTGGAAGAATGACTGTATTGTAGGAACCTGTGAGATGTGTAGTTTGTGATATTAGCTGGGCAGAGAAATGAAATAAATTACAGTTATGGCTTACTACAAGTAGTGGATATACAGTGATGTTTTACTCTTATTGGATCGCTTGCATATATGAATATAGCAGCTGAAGTTGCATGGCAGAGAGTAGTTCCTGCGGCACTGAACATTTTTTCTAGTTGCACATCATGTTACATATCTAGATGACTGTTTAGCTAAGACCTTCAGCGAGTAAGTCCATGGAGAGAGAAACATCATATCGGGCCACAGTTTTAGGCAAAGAAAGCATTTCTTTGTACATGACTATATCCCAGGTATTCTAGTTTGGAGCTAATCCTGAATATGGAAGGAATCATTGGGAGTTTTGGAGCAGGGATATCAATAAGCTGATAAGTCTCAGCTATATTTCTCTGGCACATCTGAATTAGGAGGTTTTGCTGGTCCTTGGCCAGTAGCTTGATGCAGAGATGGGCTGGAACTGAAAAGACAAGGATCCCACAAGTAAGTGGTTTCTGGGTTCATGAAATCAGGGGCTGCTTACTCTGAAGGAGTTGCATTCCCCTGAAAGGAGTAAGTATGTGAGGCCAGAGGCCCAAGTGTCAGCAAAAAGAGGCAACACCATGATTGGTGAAAGAAATGCACTGGCTGTTGATTTGCTACTAGATAACATTTACGATTTTGATGTTAACCTATAAACAATTTGGGACCAATTGGAGAGAATACTTCTGTTATATAGAAGTGCTCAACTATTGGATTCACCATCAGAGGCTGTCTTGGGTCTGCCACACGCAGTAGAAACTCATTTGAGTTCAGTTGGGAAGATTGGATGCCTTTTCTGTTGTGGCACCAGTTTTGGAGTATAGTACTTATCCGATAGAAATTAAGCATGGATTGTTGCATAATTTAGGAGCTATATTTGAGAGCTCATGATGGTGTGATTGAATTGCTTAAGATCATTATTACATTATTTCTTTCTGCTTTCTTGTATTTTGTCTGTTTTGTATTAGTATATTTTTTTTGCATTTGTATGTATTTTTTAAATTCTATACACTGCTTTATGAAGGATTCAGTGACAAAATGGTGTATAAATACATTGAATAAATAAAAATATAACAAAGCAGAGCTATAGAGAGGGAAAGGGTGACTCTCTTCCTTTTCTTCAATGCATTTTGCCTTTGGTCAAAGCTGCATTTCCTTCAGACCCAGTGGAGTATACAGTGGTACCTCAGCTCATGAACTTAATTCGTTCCACAATTCTGGTCGTGAGCCGAATTCGTCATGAACCAAATCAAATTTCCCCATAAGGTTCAATGTAAATAAGGTTAATCTGTTCTGACTCCTACGAACGTGGTCATCAACCAAATTGGTCGCCAACCGAATCAATTTTCCCATAAGGTTCAATGTAAATAAGGTTAATCAGTTCTGAACCATATGTATTTTTTTTTTAAACCACAAAAATATGAAAGTATAGTACAGTACAGTATGAAGAGAGAGAACACTAACCTTGGTTGAGGTGACACCAAAAAGCTTCACAGCAAGTGTCTGTCTGCGACCACGATCTCGCCTAGAGGTAGCCACGACCATATGTCAGAGCAGGAAAGATGGCCGCAGGTTGTGTTCATCACCTGATGCGGAGTTCATGAATGGAAACAAAAATTTGTGAACGCTGCTGTTCACGAACTGAATTGTTCGTGAACAGAAGCGTTCGTGAACCAAGGTATTACTGTATATAGGATGTGCCAAAAGTCAGGCCCCGTAGAAAATTTATTATGTAAATTACATGAAATGTTCAAATTGGTTGCCATTTTCCTCTAAACACTTCCTTACTTGTTTGATGCATGATCTCTGAACATTTCTAAGTGCAGTAATATTTTCTCTGAAAAAAGAATAAAGTCCGTGGGGTTCTATGAGCTTGGTTGTTTTCTTCAGATGTTTCCTTACCCAACTAGGTAACATCTTCAGTGCTAGACGGGAATGGGGTTTGTTCTCTGCTTATATACACTAGTTTGCCCTGTCAGTGTTGGTGGGGGAGGTTTTTTTCCCCCCTCTGTTTTCCTAGATTAGGGTGTTGTATACAGCTTGATTGTTTGTCTGAGTTGGTAGTTCCTTGATTAGATATTGTTTACTGCTTGATTGTTTGGTGTTAATTCTGGTGTTAATCTCTGCTTATCTGGGTGTTGATTGCTGGTGAGGAGGTGTTCTAGTCTTTTTGTTTCCTTTTTGTCTCTTTTGAATGGTGTGTAAATGTTGTTTATCTCTATGTGCCTGTTGATGGCTGACTTGTCTGAATACCAAGCTTCCAGGAATTCATTCTTGTTTTTGGATTTAGCTTGGTCTAAGATGCTGACAGTTTCTCAATTGAAACTATGGTTGAGTCTGTCCATGTGTTGTGAGATTGAGGAGTTTTCATCGTGTCTTCTGACTGCTAGTTGGTGTTCATGGGTGTGCTTTGCTAGTCTTCTGCCTGTCTGTCCTACATAGTGGCTGTTAGTCCTTACACTGTATGGTGTGGATGACTCCTTTTTTTTTTTTTTTAATTTTGGGCAAACACAATACGTTTTTAAAAAATAAAACATATTGTGATTGGCCTATAGGACCTGACTTTTGGTATATCCCATATAATAGTTGAAAGGTCATGTGTCTATCTCAGTTCTGTGATTCAAATTCTGGACCCCCCCCCTGCTTTTCAAGTCAATGGGTTTTGGCTGCTTCTTTACTGTCATTGAAGTTCCTTGTCATCTGTCCCTTTTTTACAAAATGACTATGTCTGGCCTTAGAAATGGGGGTGGGGCAGTGGGTGTTACCTCTTCAACTTCACACTTTACACTTACGCTGGTATATTAAGCATATTTTCTTTGTTCTAGATGAAGTTTCTAGATAATTCAAATTTAGTAGTGAAGGGAAATAATTCTTTTAACTGGATTCTTGACTTAGTACAAAATATTCCTAGTTAAGTGATAGTTTAAGTTACCATTGGTCAGTAGAGATGAATGATCTTAATTGAAAGATGCAGCAATCATCCTCATCATCATCTTGGTAAGGAAATAAAGAATATAAAGCCAGGTTTAGATTTTAAAAAACTGATGTGAAAAAATACATATTAAATTATGTTCCTTTTGTGCATGTGTATAAATATAAAAAATTCCAGTCATTCTTTGGTTATTTGGCAGATATGTATGTTCCCCAAAATGTGATAAGGGAAGACATACATTGCTGTTTTATTGTTCTTTTCCCCACTCAGAATATTATTAACTGTGGAGAGATATCTTTTTACTTTATAGTTTAGGGGTTTCAGATGCTTGGTTAGTCTAAGTTGTTATAACTAATTTATATTGCTCTATTACTACAGTAGATCATTTTCTGCTGCTTCCATTTCCCCTATTTTTAATACTCTTTTTCTCCCCCCACTCCCGTTCCTCAAGGTGCATCACTTAGTATTATTATTTGATGCAGGATGGAGAAGCTCTGATTTGTGGTGCCTCAAGTGAAGATCTTCTTTCTCATAGCAAGATACGAAATTATAGGTGCTCCCATTTAGGATTGTGTGCTGGTTCTGATTTGGTTGCCTTGCACCCTTTCTGAAGGGAAAAGATATAGGGTAGCCAGAACTGGCTGTTAGGGAGCTATTACTTGCGGATGCTTCCATCTAGAATTACTCACATAGACCGTACCAGTGCTTTTCCTTTGCTGCAGTAGAGGTAGGCAGTCTCCATTTTAGAGAAGGGAAAGAGTTTTTCTCTCCCCAAAGGCCTTCCTGTATGGGGTGCATCCAGAGAAGTAGTTGGTGTTTGCTTGGACTGGATTCAGCTCTCCATCTCCGATTTAATGGCATATTTGGAATCACTCCTTTTATTGAAACAGAAATAATCTTGCCCTTACGATTTTGAATTCCAGGTTGACTGACTTCAGTCAGCCAGTGCTGTTTGCGTATTTACATATTTATGGGTGGGTATAAGGCAGGGTTCCTCAACCTCAGCAACTTTAAGATGGGTGGACTTCAACTCCCAGAATTCCCAGCCAGCCAACTGGGAGTTGAAGTCCACCCATCTTAAAATTGCTAAGGTCGAGGAGCCCTGGTGTAAGGGACAAAACCCTCAACAGCTGTTTATAGATCAATCTATATAGATCTCATAGTTAACTCTAATTTATTTATTTTAATTTCCTACTGCTTAGTAAATGTTAAAGCTATTTTTGTGTCTTGTCCAAATATTTGAGTGTGTTCCATTTCAAAA